CGTGTAATCCCCCACATGTACATCAAGCAAAACTCAAAATTGCTTCATGAGCTATATATCTCTAGAGTCTAGACCTCTCAAATGAGGCATTACCGTACCACAAATTTCTAGAGTTAGTTTAACATCAATTTTTAGTTTCATTTCAACCCAACCACACTTGACCTTGACACTACATTAGTGATATTACATCAAAAGGAGTGTGCTTTTATAGTAACGCTTCAATTTGCTATGGTCGGTCCTATGAATGAAGATGGAGCATTTCAGAAGCACTACAAAGGCACATCTTCAGGCCAGTCACTGAGATAATTTAACTCAATATCCGACTAGGGAAGGATTTACTTGAAACGAGTGGAGGCATAGGTTTCTATTTTTCGTAATAATTTTTTTCTTCACATGTGTGTGTATATATATCTTCGATCATTTGCAATGGAGCCAAAGATTCATTATTTTTTGGCTTGAGATTATGATGGAATAAAGCAAAATGGCTCACTAAACTGTCTGCGCTTCTTTGTTATGAAGCAGCAGTCAGTCCATGCAATTTTGGACGGGATTTTCACTATGGGTCATCCGGAAACAGTCCCTCTGTGCTTTAGTACATGGGTAAGACTGCGTACATCCGACCCCCCCTTACCCCACCGTAGGTGGGAGCCTTTTCGGCACTGGGGTAAATGAAAATGAATGAATGTGTGTATATATATATGTGGATGCATTTTTTTAGAACATAATCTAGCAGTCGTCAAAATGAATTCTTTAGGTACAAGTTCTTTTTCTAAAAAAAATTACTAAAATAAAAGTTTTTGACAAAAATGTGATTACAAATGACCATGAGTATACTTTTGTAGTCACTGAAGTGTAAAATTTAACATATACATAGTCACTAAAAGTTATACATATAATCGTTTTGTATGAAATTCTGGCTGAAGTGACAATATTGGGTGATTTATAGGGAAAAATATATAAAATATATTTTATTAATAAAATAAAGAAAGAAATATATAAAAAATGGCTAAAATGATCATATACAATAACTTCAACCAATACGGTCAGAAAAGTAACTTTAACTTTGTTTTTTCTTATTTTTACATATTTCAGCGCACGAAATCAAAACTTACATAGTTGGTGAAAAATTGGTTAATAAGCCTGATAAAGCGAAAAACAAAGTCATCAAAAAGACGGTAAATGTCACATTTTGTTCACTATATTTACCAATTGTATAAATGCAATTATGTCATATTGTAATGTAGAAAATGAAATATATGAATTGATGCATCTACTATTACATTTTCTATTTGTCCCATCTTAACGGTCTTTATAAATAAATAGTGACTGTATTTTATTATAAATTATCTCATTAGCTAACATTAGTCCTTACCTTTTACTCACACCGATATAAAAATAAGAAAATTTGGCTGTGAGAATAAGAAGGTTGGATCTAAGTTGCAATACAATTCTTCTCATTGTGATGTTGAAGTGAAAAGTTTGAACTGATGTTTGAACTTAATTGCTTCATCAAAATGTTATTTTTATTTAAAAGTTTGTTTCAATAATTCTTCACTATTTATATAATTATTGCTATAGAAAATATTCGCACATGCTTGGTTTTAGGATCCTATTTCTTCATGCTAGGTTTGTTTTAGATAATTTCACAACTAATTAAACAATATGCCATGAATGTTGAAGGAAAATAAAAAAAAACATAAAGTTATCCATCTTTAACTATTACCGGGTACTATCTCCCTCCGTCCCCCAATTAAGTTCCCGGTTTGACTTCACACGTATTAAGAAAATAAATTTGACTTTACTGTGGAGTGCACTGTTTTGCACTGTTCAAACACTGTTTGACACTGTTTGACATTGTTTTGCACTGTTTGACAATGTTTTGATGTAGATAATTTGCCAAATAAAGAAAGTAAAGAAGTGTGAAATTAATTTAAAATTTTAATAGATCATAGTCCAATGGATTTGCTTAACAAACCTACACATTGACAATCTTTAGACTTGCTTACCCTAATAAGCCTACACAATATAAACAACAAGAAGTAAAAATGTTTGGGCTTATTAGGATAAAAAAGCCTATACATTTCTATGTACAGAAGAGTATCACACACAAGAGGTCTTCTCTCCTCCCTACACTCCCACCGTAGCATATAAAAAAAGATTTAATTTTGATATCCATTAATGACTTTCAAGATCTTACTTTCTACACTTGAAAAGGGTGATGGATGTGATAAATAAATAAGGGTTGACTTGGATTACTTCTCAATGTTTTGAAAGTTGTCGATGTGATTTAGGCCGATGGACCGTGGTTGTTAGAGCATTATTTAATTGTGTTCAAATTATTTATAATTTATTTAATGAGTCTTAGTATTAGCAGGATTAGTTGAGAGAGAATCAGACTTAAATTAAATGCTCTACCTAAGCCCACACGCACGCATGCCCAATCTAGTGTATTCTTATTGTAATAGGATGCTCGACCTCTCTCCTATAAATATAAGTAGAGATGGTTCAAACAACCCAAGTCTCTGCACATTCTGTTCCGCATATTATTCTCGTAAAGCTCCTAGATAATTCTCCCTCAACAAGTTCATCTGTGTATTATTCTTCATTAATACATTATTCTGAATATACGGTATTGAATGTTGATGAGTTACTCTAGATCTTCTACTATTTGAATTCTTACTATTATTCTTTAGATTTATTCGACTGTTGATCTGGGATCATTCACACAGTGGTCCATGGACCCTCGTCAGCTGACAGAACCCCACCGCTTGTAATGTCAGCTTGTTATTGGACTGCCACCATATAGCAACCTTTGGACTGTCGCCGCCACCAGTTATTATTTTGGTTGGGAACTAGGGGACAATTAATTATATTAAGAGTACTTATAATATTAAGGAAATATTTAGTTCTATTTAAATAATAAATTAAACATGCTCCTATTCAAGAATTTAAGCAACATTTTAGAGACAACTTAATTTTGAGATGGAAGCTGAACTCGTGGAACGATATTATCGTGTATAAATGACTAGAGATACCAAAGTTGTACAATATACGTATACTTAATGTACCATTTATCAAACTTATACACTGGACACCACATCAAAGAGGATCAAATATTCAAAGTGAAGTGAGCAAGGCGTTACAAAGTCATGACAATGTTCCTTTTCAGTTCATTAGTTGTAGCTAGTGTCTTCTCAAGTTCTTGTTTATCAAGTAATTAGTACCTATTTCCCTGTACCTGCATGGATAAATATTAATTATAAACAGACTTGAAATAAATCAAATAGATCTCGATCACCAAAATGAAAATAACTAGACCAGTCGAGTTCACAACCAATCAAACCTTATCAGAACACAAAATTTAGTTTGTACCAAATTTAAATAGACTAGATGGAATCGATGCCTTTAACAAGATCAAATAAAACGATGCTGGGGTAGGCCTTAGAGCAGGTGGAAGGGGGAAGACCAGCTCTGCAGGATGTTGGAAAAATGTGTTAAAAATTGCAATAAATGGTGATTTTGGGGCAATTATTTGAGTGGGGTCCACTTCCGATTTGGGTCGGGTCAAAGTGGTTTCGGATTGTCCTTGTTAAGGGCTACAATTCGTTAGTATAGATTTGTAGAAATTTAAATTTAAGCTTTCTACTTGCATTTCAATGGATTGCTTCTCATCTTTAAAGGGGTATTCTTCTACACTTATTACTTTATTTAAATTCAAATTTTAAATCTTTAATTTTACGTATCCACTTTTATGTTCATGTATTTATTTTATTTGCAATGCATGAGTAGTTAGATTTGTTAGGGGGCTGTTTGGAGCATATATATAAAATAAATACATGAACATAAAAGTGGATACATAAAATAAAAGATTTAAATTTTGAATTTAAATAAAGTAATAAGTGTAGAAGAATACCCCTTTAAAGATGAGAAGCAATCCATTGAAATGCAAGTAGAAAGCTTGAATTTAAATTTCTACAAATCTGTGTATGTATATATATATATATATATATATATATATATATATATATATATATATATATATATATATATGTGTGTGTGTGTGTGTGTGTGTGTGTGTGTGTGTGTGTGTGTGATTGAAATGTTGGGTGACTAGTATTGAATTTTATTGCTTGAAATGTGTTTGTGAAAATGCCTCAATGACTTTAATTAATACAATTTTTAGAAATCTTGTATTTAGTTATTTAGGAATATTTAGATGAGAATCAGATTTTCATTTGCCCTTTTCACACACACCAAGGCACGACCATGAGAGTGGCGGGCCTAGGGGGCTTCTTTGCTTTGGATCATTTTCATTGGCGTCGGTAGGCGGTTTCAGACCATGAGAGTGGCCAAGATCGTCTATTGACCGATCCTACGACCACGAGAGTGGCGGGGGAACCGTTGTGCGTGCTCTTTCTTGTAATAAAGTTCTAATACTATTTTGTCCAACCTGCAATTGTAATATGAGTTCCAAACATGCCCCAACACCCCTTTGTATCTTTATTTCGTAATTTAGCTCATTTAGCATCCTCTCTTGATCATATTAACGTTTTAGTTTCATTCGCACCACTTTTAGTGACACATTTGCCTATTCAATCATTGCACTCACTTACACGTCATCCCTGTGGTTCGACAAACCACATCCCATTTACCACTATACAATTCACTTTTCCTCGCACTTTCGTTACACTTTATTTTCTTTCTTTTTGGTTGACTCGAGATTCGCACGCAACGACCTATATTTGTTATAATTTAAGCGGGTCCCAACCTCATCAAAATGGCGCCGTTGCCGGGGATGACGTTAGTGATTGATTGAGCTAGCTTTTGTGTTTTCTATTTTGGAGTTAGTTATTTTGTGTTGTTTCTTTTAGTTTCACCCCGTCTTTCTCTACTTGGTATTGTGCTCGTGGGGATGCTCCGACGTTTTTCATTGCATATGCTTTGTGGGGGCGCCCCGACGCTTAGCGTTGTGCTTTCGTGCTTATGTCGTTGTGCTTACTTACTTGATATCGGAGGCGCTATCCAGCAACTTTTCGATATCATCAGCATTGCCGCCAACTCCAAGCTTGGCTTCCTCCATCTTCTCAATCTCCTTCACCCACAATCCCGCATGTATTCTCTGTTTCTTAACCTTATAATCCTTCCCCATATTCTCTAAACAATAAATGGACCTCTCATTTAAATTTTTCTTGGCAATATCATCAACTTCTGACGATATTGCCAATTGTCTCTGATCCCAATTGTCGTTCATCTCCTCCACGAATGCCCTGGTTTCACCGTCAACTTCTGACGGAAGGGGAGTATGAGGAGAGTTCGAGGTGTCATCCGGAAGCGAGAAGTTAACGTCAGTCTCCCAAGGAGCTCGGTTCTTCCTCGATAGATCCTCCGGCAGCCATGCGGTTTCCCACGTGACGTTCCACTTGTCATCACTAGTTTTGTCGGAGAGACGGTGGAGAGCCGCATGAGTAGAGGCAGCCGGGTTTAGCAGAGGTTTTCTGAAAATGGCGAAACAAAGTCTTTCAATTGGGTTCATTGCTTTGAATGAATACTCAGTCGGCCGTCCAGAATCTTTCTTTATACAAACTGCTGTGGAAAATGTGAACAATCTTCCCGCCCAAAAACTTAACATCAGCGGGTCGGGTCGGATCAAACGGGTCAGACAACATAGGTCATATTTGAAATGGAGTAATGCATTTATTGTTTGTTGCTTTAACAACTTTTTATCACTTCAAACAGGCTGCAAGGGGTCAGCAATGAATGCATTAAATATTTGTTGCATACTGTCTTTTCAAAAAATTTGGGTTAATTAATGCAAAAGCAGATAGATCTTTAGAAAAGCAAATGAATATCGGTCAGGGTTTGTATTGCATTAAATGAAACGTACTCCCATATCTTATTGAGCAGCACAAATTATAGATTGTGATCTATAAAGTACATTGACATTAAATGCAAAGCAACTACTAAAGGTAATTTCGAAGTAAGCTAGAAAAAATATTGGTGTCCGTTGGATAATAAGGTGTTCTTTTCCTAGCAATTAATAAACCAACGAGTTCACAACATACATGCCAAGCTTCAATATAAATAGACCAACCTGTTCAGTTCATTTTCCATCCCAAAATCACACAGCATCCCACACCATATTTCAATGGCAGAAAACCAAGGAATGTTGTCATTCCTCAGGGAGGTTGACCACACCAAGAACACCTGGTCTATTGAGTGGTGAGGGGTTATGAAATTCTTCCACAGTTCCGGGGATGACAAAGGTTGAAAATGGTGTTCATTGACTCACAGGTAGTATTACACCATTATTTTTACATTGCATTTAGATACTTCATTTTGTTTTAGAAAAAAAAAAATTTTGCTGCAAGGTGACAAAATATCATGGTGTAAGATTATAGAAAAGTGTGTTTCACTAACACAAAAGTGCTGCCCCGTTGGAAAGGAGGGGGGACCCTAGAGATGGGGTTGCATTACAATAAGGTGTTGATGGCCACTCTATAACATTTTTTATCATGTACGACAATGTTGTTTATTTTTAGTTGTTATGGGCTCTAGACATTCAAATGTATTTTACACGGGGAGAATTCATGTAAAACTGGTTTGGATCCTGTAAAAATGGTTGAAGCTTTAGTTATAACAATTTTTATGATGAAATGATTGTTTGTCTAAGTTCAGAACTTGATCGAGAGGTGTTTGCAGCTGTATATGGATAAAGATGTAGTCGTTAAAACGCTCTTAAATCGTGCTAGGATCGATCCTTCATTTACAAGTCTAGGTTCTCAAAATATCATATATATTGGAGTTTTAGTTTTGCTATTGTATGCTCTTGCTGTCCCAAATTGATTCACAATGCTAGAAACCTACACATAAGGAAAATTGTAAGACTCTTCTATCCATATTGAAGTTCTACATTAATGCATCTTATATATTTCAGCGCACAGAAACATTTAATGCGGGAAGAGTTGAAGCGGGCCATTAGGAAATTAGTACCCCGTGCAAAATATGCATTGAATTCCTAAAGTGGTTTTTATTTTGAGACAAAAGGAATTGGTTAAAAGGATATTTATTTGGGACATGACTAGTTCTATATGATAGTTTTAATTTAAGTAGTTCTCTCAATATATTATATACAGTGTGGCGGAAATTGAAAGAAGAAAATGCCGACTTCTTTTAAGCATGCTACATAAGATTGACGCTAAAAAAGCAAATCATACTGTTCAATCAGTTGCTTGAGCAACAATATCATCTAATTAAATATCCCCCTATACTTACACCAGCTTCTTTGGAGAATTCAAATAATTGCTCTATAGGTAAGATATATTTCTTTGATCTTGATAGCTACATAAGGGTCGCCAATATTGATCATTATCATAAGATCCCCAAATAGTTCATACTATCAGATTTTACTTTTAAGATGGACATTGAGTCTTAATACTGGTGGCATCTGTTTATCTGTTAGAGACGCTAAAGTAACATAGAAGAACATGTTTTTATATATTAGATTACATTCCATTTAGTCTATAATCATTATTACCAGCTGGTGCTTCTTTATATTGCAGCCACCAATCTACCTACGAGGTATCCTATCATGCAGCAACCTCCAATTCCAGCAGCTTGTCATTCTTATGTTGATCCAATGATGATGTCTAGTTGCCAAGTGGTTAATGGGATGCCTGCACTCAACAACTACCATCCTATGCATATGAGTTCTGGGAACAAGTAAATCTTTTGGTTTTCCTATACATTTTTATGTTCTTAATCATTTCACATTTTAAAGTGATGCATGGTCTGATACAACATATAAGAGCTATAAGTTTTGCTAAGTGTGGCTCAAGTTGGGTTGCATAAAATAGTTTTTCCTGACTACTGTTTAAGTTGGATAGGCAGAAGAGAACTGTATGATCTCATCCAAGGCCTAGAATGGTATGGAAGAGGAGTGGTAGAGCAGATATATGCTTGCGAGAAACAATGAAATAAACTTAAGGTAAAATTAATTAGTGCCCAACTTAGAAAGACACCAAAATTTGTTCTTAAATACTAGCTTGTGAATCAAGACTGGACCACCTTATAAATCAATCACAAGAGTTCTCATTATAAAATAAACAAATAATTGCCCTGAATATAACTAAAACATACTGTAGTTGCGTTCTATGATCAAGACTAACGAGTTTTTATTGATATGATAATATCTATTTGATCCTTGATAGCGAGGACTAACAAGGTTTTATTCTTAAAATAGTATGTATTTAGTAATACTTGGGAAAACCTATTATGTTTTAGTGAGCCTAGAATATTTATCAAAACAAGAAATGAAGAAAGGGTAAAAAACTGAATAAAACTGATATATACAACTGTAGAATTGCTGAACAGCAGTACAATATTGTGCATATTCAAGTTTTATTTGGTATTACAGTCCAACAAGACCATAGCATAAGATGGTTAATTACATTGTTGAAATGAAGGGTATAGTTGTCTGCAAGATTTCTTTTTTATGCTATGTAGTATGGTGATAGAATCAGATGTGACCGCAGTAGCCGTTCCACAGAGCAATGGTTATTCATCTATGATAGATACACCCATAACCCCAACATCAGTGGCTTCAAGTGGTCACCATTTGCCCTTTCCCGCCCTTGACACCACATTTATATCTGACATTGTGACCACAGCTGGGTTGCAACTCCCCTTAATTATTGTGCTGGAAGTTACAGGAATAACACCCTTCGGTCCTTGGATCACTATCCTTGGAATTTTAATCTTTCAGACTTATCAGAAGATTTACCCAACTTAGAAGGTAAGTCTACATGACAGTTTTGTTAAATTTGGATTTTTTTCTTTCCCGAAACAAGACTACACTGTATTTTATTTATGAAAAAGTTAATATAAATACTCCTTGAATGAACCCAAAGTCTATAATAAATATCATGAACTTTATATTATGGGTGATCTCAGAGCTATGAGCACTAGTGATGTACTTACCAAGTCTGAGTTTAAGATGCTATGTGTTCTCTCAAATTTTCAAAGTATTTAGATTGTGCATTTAGCAGATGAAACTTATATTTGTAAGGAAAAAATGATATTCATGGTGGTATGATATAAGTTATAATCTTATAGAGTGACAAGTTCATACTTCACAAAAGTTGAAGGCATTTAAATTAATTTTTGGTTTATCTAATCATCAATGCAAAAAATGCTCTAGAGCATTATCACTGTTTTGTTGTTGTTGACTTGATGTTGTTGTTGTGTGTATGTAAGTGTGTGTTTGCTTTATATTTTTCGGATTTCCTAACTTTCTTTGTTACGGTGGCGGGTGAGTACCCTGATAGCAGATATAGGAGGTCTTGGGAACCACCACCAGTCATCACCTTTTTTGCATTCTGATTCAGATATTCTACTTGATTCTCGAGAGCAAGAAGACTCAGGTGAGAAGGGTTCCACTCTTTCTAAATCAATAACATAACCAATGTACCCGAGTTTGATGTTTGTACATTGCTTTTGCCACGTTATCCACAATTGTTCATGCCCGTTTTGCTAAAACTAAATATAGGAGAACATCATTAACTAAACTATTCCTGACCGGAAATACCCAATAATATTTAGAAATAAAAGCCAATTCGCACACAAATGCCATATGCATTGAGTTTCCCAGTCTTCATGCACTCCAATGTTGCCAAATGCCAGGAACCCTAAAAATAATTTCGAAGTCATTTCGGTAGAAAGTCTGGACTCAAATTTAAAACATAAACCATAGAGTTAAGTTTAGTGTTTACAAATACCAAAACAAATAATGTAATGTTCACAATTTTGCCGAAGTAAATTTTTTATGACTAATAATTATGGAAAAAACATGACATATATAATGATGTTTCTTGCAAGTATCGTTTAATTGGTGTATTGACTATTGCATGTGTTTTTCCAGTGGAGGAATTCTTTGTTGATTTCTCCTCAGGGCTAACATGTTCTCAAACTGATGAGAAGAATCCAAGCCATAGTTAGTGGTGATTGGTGAAGTTACTGTAATTTCATCGAATCGATTGGTGCAGAGTCGCAGAGAGCATGGGAATACAAATCAAAGCACCAGATGACTTCACTTACGGTCGTTAAATCATGTCTCAAAATGCTTTTCTTAATATTGACTGTCTTGTTTTGCTAGTTATCTCAGGAATGTACTAAATCATAGTGTCTGTCTTCTATATGGGTATTGCCCATTGACAGTCTTGTTTTGCTAGTTATCTCAGAAATGTATTAAATCATAGTGTCTGTCTTCTATATGGGTATTGGCTAGCGCCGCAGCAGTATTGGCCATTGACTGCTTTGTTTTGCTAGTTATCTCAGGAATGTATTAAATCATAGTGTCTCTCTTCTATATGGATATTGGCCATTGACTGTCTTGTTTTGCTAGTTATCTCAGGAATGTATTAAATCATAGTGTTTGTCTTCTATATGAGTATTGGCTAGCGCCGCAGCGGTATTGCTTGATATCCACTAGAATTACCAGGGGAAAGTTTTCCCACTTTCAGGGCATTTGGATAATTGAAAAATGAGGCTCTTCTCTAGTATTTTCGTATTTTCAGATGGAAACTATTTTCCGAAGTAACACATCTCCAGGTGAAGTAACACATTTCCGGTTGCCACCACATTCATCACTAACAACTAATACAACCATTGCCAGTACATTTCATGCAAACACCATGTTCATCCGTCCACTCCGGATCATTAGTTGGACTCGCTTCCATCATTCACAACTAAAGGTGGAGCCAACCCCAATTCTGAGACTTGACCAGATCGGAAACTGGAAGATTTTTTCATGCAACACCATTACCATCCACCACCCTGGTAATTGGTTGGGAAGCTAGGCTCATGACTTCCATCGTTTACAACTAAGGTGGATTGGCCTATTTGACTTGAGTCACATGACACGATCGAGATGATCAGTTTCTGTCTGAGATGGATGTGACATTCCAAAAATTTAAATAAAATAAATATAATTTTTATTAGTCAGATAATTTTTCTCAATCTCCTGCATCCCGGTGATCGAAGCGAAGAAGATGACTTCAGTCTTCTCTAACGTTTCGGCGGGTTGTTTATTTAGTTGGGCCGAACAAACTAAATTACAAACTGGGATGATATAATGGTACTAGGGCCGTTGGATTAATAATAAAATAGCTGAAGGTTTGTTGTGGACTATTGGTTAGTTTCGGATGGATATTTAAAAGGAAAAAAATAAAAGTTATTACTCTAAATAGGAGTAAATCATTAAGAAAGTTCCAAAATAGGACTTTATATTGATTTATTCCGGAAATAGGAGTTACTAATTGACCGGGCCGTTCCTATTTCCAATTATACCCTCTATTTTTTTTGCAAGAAGTAAAATTAATTAATATTAATCAAATCATTGTCCAACACAGATATAACAAAACCAGGAGGAGAATAAAACCAAGATCGCAAATCAGACATAGAACAAGCAGCACTAGCTAACGCATGAGCTGGCTTATTCGCTGATCGCTTAATATGACAAAAAGAAATGCTCGAAAAATAATTCGCCGAATCTCTTATGTCTTCACCCAAAAAACCAACCAGCGAACAACTGGATCCATGTAATATCTCTGAAATAGCTCGGGATGCATCAGACTCCACCTCTATCTCGAGCCAACCGTTGTCCTTGACCCAACTTAGAGCTTCACGAACTCCCACAAGTTCAGCACTTAACGGTGATAAGCTTCCTGGCCATGGAAGAGCAGCCCCCGCAACGAACCTGCCCCTATCATCTCGAACACACCAGCCTAGCCCGCAACCATTCGTTCGCACCGCTGCGTCAACATTAAGTTTCATTTTTCCTGCTGCAGGTCTGCACCACGAAGAAGCCGCAGAAAGCTCCCTCTGCACCTTAACTCTTCTTGCTGCCTGTGCTTGAGACCAACCATCAACCATGGATTGTGCTCTATGGATAATTTGTTGCATTGAGGAAGATTTCCCCTGCCAGACGCGTTGATTCCGCTCGCACCAGAGAGCCCAACAACCCCACACTAGCTTCTCCAGAGTCTCCTTTCTCCTATTCCGGAATTCCAGATTTATTTGCTCCACAAATGGCAAAACAGTCCCCTCGGTCCACTTCCAGGACATAGCTTCCCAGGCCTCACGGACGACTGAACAAAGTCGGAAAATATGCTCTGCAGATTCCCTGGCATCTCCGCATGATCCACAAGAATCCGGGCAGTCCACTCGGCGCTTTTGTAAATTATCTCTCAAGGGAAGACATCCGTTACAAACCTGCCAAAAAAAAATTTAATTTTAGGAGGAAGCTCACATGACCACATGGCCATCCAATCTAAATCTTCCAAACCCCCCATCTCTCCCACCAAACGCCGATAGCAACTTTTAACCGAAAAATGGCCACTTTCCTCCCATCTCCAACATAACAGGTCTGGGATATGTCGTCTGCTAAGAGGCAAGCTTTTGATCAAGAAAGCATCTCTTTCTTCAAAAATATCATTTATGATGTCATTATCCCATTCTTTTTTATCTGTGACAAAGAGGTTTGCCACCACCGCTCATGTAGTCCTTCACCTGCCATCGAAATCACTCTCGGATTCCCCTTGTCCGGAAGCCAAGGTTCCTCCCAAATATTGATAGAATGTCCATTTCCCACCCTCCAGTGATAACCTTCTCGAATAATCTCTTGAGTTTGAAATAAACTCCGCCAAATAAAAGAAGGATTATTTCCTATTTTAGCCTTTAGAAAAGTGCTCTTCGAATAATACCTGGCCTTAAAAACCCTTCCCACAAGAGAATCGGGACATGTAAAAATCCTCCAAGCTTGCTTAGATAGCATAGCCAAATTATACTCCCGAAGTCTTCTAAATCCCATGCCCCCAGCTGGTTTCGGCTTACAAAGGGAGTTCCATTCTTTCCAACGAATTCCTTTTCCTGATTTTCCTTTCCACCAGTAGCCATTCATAATTATTTCAATCCCACGACACAATTCAATAGGCAACAAAAAGACATTCATAGCGTAAGTCGGCATTGCCTGAATAACATCCTTCAAGAGAACCTCCCTACCAGCATTGGATAAAAAATTATTATTCCAATTATTAATTCTATTGACCACCCTCTGACGAAGATAACCCAAGATCACTTTTTTACTCCTTCCCACCAAAGCCGGTAAACCCAAATATTTTTCGTTGTCCCCCGCTAGCCCCACGCCAAGCAAATCAACAAGCCCCTCTCGACAACTGGCCACCACATTAGTACTAAAAAATACCTTAGATTTATTAAAATTGATTACCTGTCCTGAGGCCCTCTCATAATCTGATAATGCTTCCTTGATCAATGAAGCTTCGTCATGCATGGCTCTAAAAAATAACAAGCTGTTGTCTGCAAAAAATAAATGAGAAATCATAGGTGCCCCTCGAGCAATGGAAACACCATGTAAACGCCCCATGTATTCATATTGACGTAGGAGCGCACTTAAACCTTCCGCGACAATCAGAAAAAGATATGGTGACAAAGGATCTCCCTGTCTTAACCCTCTCCCTGGTTTTTAAAAGAGTTATCTCAGAATCATCAAGCGGGATAGAGTAGGTGACCGAGGTAACACACTCCATAACCAACTGAGTCCACCTCTCATTAAATCCCAGATTCCTCATCATTCCTTCCAGAAAAGGCCATTCAACTCTGTCGTAGGCCTTACTCATATATAATTTAAGTCCCACTAAACCCATTCGCCCCTGCCGTTTACACTTTAAAAAATGCTGGGACTCAAAAGCTAACATGATATTATCCACAATATATCTACTCGGAATAAAAGCACTTTGTTGCTCCGAAATACAAAATTGAAGTAAATTTTTCATGCAGTTGGCCAGAAGTTTAGAAAAAATTTTATACAACACATTACAAAGGGCAATCGGCCTCCAGTCCCACAGGGACTCCGGTTTCTCCTTCTTAGGAATCAACACAATATTAGTATGATTTACTTTTTCAGGGAGCTTACCAGATTCGAAAACTTCACTGCAAAACTTGATGACATCCGGACCCACTACGTCCCAGAAGTGCCGATAAAAACCCGGACTCATGCCGTCTGGCCCAGGAGACTTATCAGGAAACATAGAAAATAAGGCCTCTTTAACCTCTTCACCACGGACAGGTCTGAGAAGCACGATATTATGTTGCTCCTCCAGTCTGCATCAGACACAACTAAAAATGAAATCGTCTCGTCCAAATCCTGCAGAAAAAAGATTATTAAAATAATCCCCAATTAATTTACCCACTTCCGCCCTATCATTCTCCCAATGACCATCCTCTAGTCTGAAGCCCTCCACCCTATTTTTCCATCTGCGTTGCTTGACTGAATTATGAAAATAACGAGTATTAAGATCACCTCCCTGTAGCCAGAATTCCTTGGCTCTTTGTCTCCAATAAATATTTTCCTTCTCAAGCAACTCGAGATATTCTTGTTTGACTCGTTGAAACTCCTCAATACTCAATGAATCACATCGTCGACGAAGATGCTCTAATCCTTTTTTTGCAAAAAGAAATACGTTTTCCGTAAGAGCCAGATTTTCCATAGCCCCAATCCCCGACCGCTTTACTATATGAAGCAACCTGCTCCATAATACCCCAATCTCGGACCAGCCCCCAACTTCGTGCTACTATCTCTCGGCAGTCAGCCTCCCGGAGCCAAACGTTCTGAAATTTAAAGTTGTGCCTTCTTTTAATTTTTTGGGTCGGGAAAATTTTTATAAAGAGCGCCAAATGATCGCTAGGGGCTCCCTCAAGAGATTCTGCTACAGCCTCCCCAAAAATATCAAGCCAGTTTTCAGACACCAAAATACGATCCAGTTTTTCCTCTACCCAATTTGGAGACCCTCTCCACCATTCCCAGGTGAAATGGTAGCCCTGAAAAGTGAAATTCCTTAAGCCGCTCTCCCAAACTGTCTCTCCAAAACCTCTTAACAACCATGGTGGATGAGGGACACGCCCTTTTTTCTCAGAAGCGAACAAAAGATCATTAAAATCACCCATAACAAGCCATGGGCGATCTTCACCTAAACTCAACTTTTTAAGAATGTCCCAAGATTCCCTCCGTCTATTTCTTTCCGGACAGCCGTAAAATCCCGTAAAACGCCAAGTGGGAGCTCCCAACTCCAGTCTAACCTGCCCATCAATGTAGTGGTTCGAAGACCCAGTAACCTCGACTTGAGCTCTGTTCCCCCACAGTAATGCCAGACCGCCCTTATGTCCATTATTATCCACCGCAAAAAATGTTCCATACCAATCTTTCTTTTAATAAACTTCATCGTGTTATTACTAGCAAATGTCTCCATTAAGAAAATGAACGTTGGCGGCTTCAAGTGAACTACGTCCACCAGTGCTTGAACTGTCGCCGGGTTGCCAAGCCCCCGACAGTTCCAACTAAGACAACTCATTGTTCTCGGCGGGTCTGGGAACCAGAACCCGCCGCTAGCCCATTTTTTGAATAAGAGAATTCCATGCCCTTACTTCCGATTGTGTCTTTTCCAGTCTCCCATCCGGAACCTTCCTCTTTTTTGCCATTGCCCCATCATTCGGCATAGGTGGATCTCCTGCTATGTCATCCTCATCATGGACCAGAGCCCCTTGATCTGCTTGTGAAGGTCTGCCAAACAAAAATTTGCCTTCCCCACTTGTTTAGCCACTTAGTGCCTCTATTGATATTTCCTTTCTTGAAGCCTGCCCGCAGCCATGCCCCAAAGGGCTTGTCTCTGCCACTCGCAGCAAACTCAAACCGGTACCGACACATTGGATCCACATGATTCATCAGCCCGCAAATAAAGCAAAAGTGCGGTAACCTTTCATACTTCAAATCCACCAAAACAGCCTCCCCATCCTTCTTCAATTTCACTTTTCTTTTGAGCGGAGCGTTAGCATCAAGTGAAATTCGTATGCGCATAAACTCCTTCCATCCTCCTTTAAAATTTGCTTGATCCACCACAACAAAACTTCCCACTTGATCCCCAACAATTTTGGCTATCCGTTTTGTAAACAAATCATAGGTCAAGTTAAAGGCTTGTACCCAGAACTGAACATGAGTCAAGGGGACGGTTTTTGGATTCTCCGTTGGCTCTAGCTTATGAAGAAACAGTAGAGAATTTTCGAAGCACCACGGACCATCAGCCAGAATTCTCTCCAAATCTATGTCGTTAAAGAATTGAAATAAGTATCTATGATCATCAATTTGTCGAATATGTACCCCCCCCCCTCTCGGCCGCCAGACATCTGCCATGGTGTCCCGGAAAGCCGGAAATTTAACAGCTTTATCCGTAAGGAGTCTGCCTACCACGCATAGGGGTGCCTCCTTCGGAATCTCTTCTGCCAGGATCATGTCAAGATCAACTCCTTCGTCATCGTCATCCTCCAAATTCATCCGAGTGTATAGCTCGTCCATCTCGGTTTCCATAAAGAGCAGAAAAGAAAATACCACGTGAAATAAGCACCGGAACGGCAATCGGCGTAGAAAGTCAGGCGTACAAAGTCAGGCATAGAAAAACCCTAGACTGCTAGGGAGAGAAACCTTTTCATCGTCCACTTTGTTATGAAAATATCGGATTATATACCCTCTATTATTGGTTTGCTTTTGTCAGCCTTCTTAGCCTCCTGTCAGAAACATCTCGATCAACCCATCTTCCCTCTTCCATATTTGCTTTTTCTTTTCCATTCTCGCCTAACTCTTCAATTTACTCTTCAATTTCTCCATCTCTTCTAGCATATTCATCTCCATATCTACTCTTCAATTTCAACATATCCGGCAGCAAAAGTTTAAACTGATTTTTTCTCATTAACTCCGACCAGCGGCAGCGACCTTCATCATAGGTATTTAATCTTCTCTCCTCTTCCTCATCCTCTTCTTCTTCTTCTTCTTCTTCTTCTTTTCTTCCCTTCTTCTTCCTTCTTTCCCTTTGCTAAACGGCAGAGCCTTTGTTTCCCTTTCATTTTGGAGCATGGATCTCCTACGTTATTAAAATCAATTTCTGAAATGATTTTTAGTAATTTTCTTTTCCCTAGCTTTCCAGATCCGCATCTACCATGTTCTGTTCTAGCTTTCTTCTCCTTTTTCTCTTTCTATTTTTCTTTCATCTTTTATTGTTTTAAATTTTTATTTTACTTTTTCAATTTACAATAAGATAGTAATTTTTTTAATTTATGGCAAACATCATTCAAAAAAAATTATGGCAATCATTTTTTGTAATTCTTCAAATTTACTATTTTTTTAATTCCAAATTGCCATAATCGCTACATACTATTTTTCATGGCATTAAATGAAAACATTAAATATTACTTCTTTGAAAAACCAATATCAATAATGCCATATTTTTCTACGTGAAAATATTATTTTGACATTTAGTGCCATTTTTATGACACTAATTCCTTCTAGATAGCAAAAACAATACAAATAATGTCATGTTTTTTCAAACATAAAAATCTTATTAATGCATATAGTGCCATATGTATGGCACTAACTGATAACATATTTGCCATTAAGTCCAACATCTAAAATGTCATCAATATGTCAAAATGACACTAAGATTTACATTCAAAATGACATTATAAATCGCTTTTTTCAGATTTGAGGACAGTTGTAGTGGTGCTAGAAGAGGTGCACTGAATCTGGCAGCGGCAGATGGGGTGGCGGTGTATTAGGCGGTAGCGGCGATGATGACGGCGATGATGACGGCGTCGATAACCTGCTGCACCGACGGTGACAGCTATGATGCTGACGGAGGAGAAGGAGACCAGCGACGACGGCGACCGGCGGCGATCGGCGGTGACTGGTGGCAGACGGCGGCGATAGCTGATGTAAGTCATGGGTGAGGCTTGCGGCGACTTGTTGGATTGTTACTAGGGTGTGAACAATTCATTGTTGTGTACAGTTGTTAGCTAGTTACGTAGTATTATTTTACGGAGTACTTTATAAGAGTATTCATTAAGGGTATTTTAGTCAACATGTTCCTTTTTACTCCTATGAAAGTACACGGATCATTGAACTCCTAGTTTTGCTCTTTTATTATGTTTTAGTCCTAGTTAGATAATTATCTCAAAAAATAATGATAATGAAAACAGAAATATTGAAATACTACCTCCGCCCCCCTAAGTTTGGGACAAAGGAGTGTGATGTGGTTTTTAAGAAAAAGTAAAATTGTGTGGTTGGTATTGAATTGATAAAGTGTGAATAAAGTAAGAATGAATTGTAACCACCCAATTATTACCAAATATAGTATGGGACAAACTTAATGGGACGGACGAAAAAGGTAAAACGGGACAAAGTTAGGGGGACGGAGGGAGTAATAATTAAAAGGGAAATCAGATAGTTTATTTAAAAGTAGAATAGCTGACTAATTATATCATCTTAATTAAAAAGGTGATTATCTAGAGACCGGAATAGAGGAAGGTAATTATGAGCACCGCATTTAAGGTAAGTTTCTATGTCAATCCAAAATTGTTTCCTCGTATTATATGCTTATTATGCATTATGTGATTAAGTGTGAATTTTGAATGTGTACTATTTGGGGTGACTAAGAATTTTAGAAATATTGAAGATATATTCTGGGATTTAATCCCTAGTATGACTTTGGAGTGACTTTTCATGTAAAAGAATTTTGGAGTATTTATGAATGTGAATTTTGGTGGACGTATCTGTTGGTCCAAAATAGGACGCTCGTAGGCTTTTAGGAAAGCTACGTACGACACTCAAGCAGGAATTAGGAAAGTACGAATATGGAAAGTTAGCCAGAAATAACATATAGAAATTGCCCCCTCTAATCTGAATTACAACCCACCTTTTATAGGCGTATACAAATCGTAACTGCTACCGATAATAATGACTAATTAATTACAACATTAATACGGAATTAAATACATAATTAATAGCGCATTAATTGCTCGACCGTTACTCTTCCGGGCTAGGAGGTCGGACGGACTGACAGGCTCCCCGCTGGGCTAGCTGGCAGGCTCCAGGTTATGGACTTAGATCCATGGGTCCAAGTTTGGGGCTTGGGCTGATTAGGCTCTGGGCCTAGTCCCATTACTCCATCACGAGTCCCCCACTCCATTAGTCGAGTAGTAGACTCGGCTAAGAGGGAGTAGTACAAGTCAGTTGCTCTTCTCCGAGACTAGAAAATCCCCGCCCTTATCCATGTTGGGGAGATGCCTCATTAAAAACCTTCATTAGAAAAAAACCCAATGGG